AAAGAGAAGTTGAACTAACCTGGTGCCATCAAGCTGAAGTCAAAGTGACTGAAGGAGTAGATTATGGTAAACTGGAACCAGGTATAGATATTAAAGCAGAGTAGGAGAAAGACCATGATTTGAAGCCAATAATTGATTTTATAAAAGCAAGTGTTTTGCACCCTGCTTGGGAGAAGGTGTCTAGCTTAAGACCTAATACAAAGAACTATTGGGCACAATGGGACCAGTTGAAGCTTGAAGATGGTATTCTTGTCCGGAGATGGGAAACTGCAGATGGGAAAGTGACAACCTGGCAAACAGTTATACCGAGAAAGTTACGGGAAGTTGTGCTGCGTCAATCCTATGATAGTTTAACAGGACATCTCGGAGATAAGAAGACATTGAGTCACCTACGACAGAGATTTTACTGGTTATGTACGAGGCAAGATGTGGAAGAATGGTGCAGGACATGCAGTACATGTTGTGCTAAACGGGGACCCAAGCATAAAAGACGTGCTCCAATGAAGTTATATCAATTTGGCGCACCAATGGAAAGAGTAGCCATTGACATTGCTGGTCCTTTGCCCCAAACTCGTGCTAGAAACAAGTTCATTTGTGTGGTGATGGATTATTTCACCAAGCGGCCTGAGGCATATGCAATACCAAATCAGGAAGCTACTACTGTAGTTTCAGCTATTAGTGATTTCTTCTTCAGATTTGCCATACGAACTGCATTCAGATCAAGGCCGTAACTTCGAATCAGCTGTGTTCCATGAATGCTGCAAGTTGTTTGACATACGAAAGACCAGGATAATGCCACTTCACCTACAGTCCGATGGGATGGTAGAAAAATACAATTGGACACTGGGACAGGAATTGACAAAATTTTGTAATAGCCGCCAAGATGACTGGGATGTCTTACTCCTTCCACTGTTGATGGCCTATAGAACAGCAGAGCACGAAGCCACTGGATACGCTCCAGCAAAGTTGATGTTTGGTCGCGAACTTCGATTGCCCATGTATCTGATAACAGGACGTCCACCTTACGAAGAGTTGCCTGAAAATGTACCAGTTTGTGAAAGTGTTATCTGAAAGGATGGATGACATTCACCATTAAGTGCGTTTAAACTTGAAAACGTCTGCTGATTCCATGAAGCTATGTTATGATAAGAGATATACTAAAGTCAGCTTTGTACCAGGAGACAAGGTGTGGTTGTATAAGGAAGACCAAAGGGAAGTCTTCTAAGTTGTCTTCTCCCTGGGAAGACCCATATGACATAGTGGATCGTCTCTCAGACGTGACTTTCCGAATAAAATGTGGTCGGCGAGGTAAGCCAAAGGTGGTGCATGCCAACAGGCTTTGGCATTATCATGGTCCAGGACATTTCAGTTTGAACGAAGTGAATAACGGAACAAATGACGCTGCTGAAGACGTGTCACCTAAAAAAGCCACTGTCGAAGAAGAAACTCTACCCGGTTTTGAGAAGAGAAACAGTGAAGCCCTTGATGAAGTTACTACTACTGATGTGACTGTTACCGATAATAGGACATTTCCTGATGGAGCAGATGAACCCCACGTGGAGCAGATGAACCCCACGTGGAGCAGAAGCCAACGAGACACAGACCAATATGGAACGAGATACGTCCCGTAAAATTAAGAGACTTTGTTGAATTTTAATTTTGTGTTTGTAAATTCTGTACATTTAATTAAGTTATTGTTAATTATCTATTGGTTTAATGTAAGTGGATGTTGTTCGGGACAAACAATACTAAAAAAGGGGCAGTGTTACGACAGCGGAAGTCTCGCGACGCTGGGAGCATGCGCACTGGGGTTTCTAGAAGGATCGTGACTTAGCGGGTAACCTTACGAACGTCCCAGCGTTTGCTAGACGCCCTTTTTTTTAGTGTATAAGCCGGAGATAGATATAGAGATAAATAATTGAGTGAAGCGAGCAGTAGGCACCGTAAGTAAAGTGTGTGAATCGCTGTGAAATTATAGC